GGCAGCGCTGGCAGTGTCCCACACCGGCTGTCCCCTGCGGGGAGTGCACAGCCTCCTGCTGATGGCATGGGCTGAGTGTGACCCTTGTGTGTTTTATAGTGGTATCGGGATCAATACAGGTTCTTTAGTGTTGTTAATTATCTAGTCTTATTCTATTAAATCTGTTTACATTTCAACCCTCGAATTTCCTTGTTTTCCCCGATACCCCTTCCTGGGTGGGGAGGGGTCATCAGGTGAGAGAATAATTGTCTAAACGACAATAAATTGTTGCAGGTTCCTCAAACCATGACAAGTGACCATCACTGCTTCAACTGTTATGCCTCCCTGGCGGGGCAAAGCCCTGCAGAATTGCAGATGCTTTGGCACCAAGTCTACTAATGACATTCACAAAGGAGATCTGGCTCCCCACAAGCCACCAGGCTCACCTGGAACAGAAGAATTTGTACTTCAAGACATGTAAATATGCTCTAAGGACTCTACCAGGATTATGCCACGCCGCGGTCCATGCGGCGCGTGGGCTGGCCACCACAGCGCTGTCAGCAGCACCCCAGGTCACTGCAGCAGCAACATTTCCTTCCCAGCACTCCGGCTGGAACGGACGGTGACGGGTTTGGATTGGGATGCGTGATCCGTATTAGCTGAAGCGTGGGGAAAGAAGAGGGAAACAAACGGTCTGTTCTATACCCGTGTAAGCAACGGTGTTGCTACGTTGCTAATTATATTCTGTGTTCCTGTACAACAGAACGTTGCGCAACAGGGATGTGTGGTACCAGAAATAAAAAGGTGTGTCAGCCGTGTACTTGCATTTGCAATTAATACTGGTTCTGCCTGAAGGAATACAACATTGTATTGCCTCTGATGCTTGCATACTATTCAACTGCAATTATCTTGTCAGGAAAAGCGGAAGGCAGCTGTAATCTTGCACAACAAAGGTTTGCTCATTGAAGGATTTCTTGTATTATAGATTGTCTTTTTAAGATAGCACAGAAGGAAATTAAAAGCAAATTCTGTAGAAAAGGCGTCTAATCGATTCTCATTTCATTCATTTATTTGGGATCTCAAATTGAACAACAACTGAGTATCTTCTCAGAACCTGCTCCGATGAAACTTTGTAAACAACGCAAGGAGGACACAGTGGAGATCTGGAGATGGCCTACAGCTCTTAACGCACTCTCCTTTTAGCCTGGGCTCACCGAGTTTTATCCTGATTGGAATCCCAAGGGAAAATGCCAGGGTCTGTTCACTTCATCTGAAATCCTTCTCACGTATTTGTCCTTATCGGAAAAGAGTCATGTAATCTGTCATAATTCAGCGTGTTGCACTCTGTTCATAAGGAAGATTTAGCTGAAGAAAGAAGAGTCTGGCAGGTTGTGACAACAGTGCTTTGGCAGAGAGCTGGGAGGGAAGGTTACACAGCAATTTCGCTGAATTATCGTGGTAGAAATGCATGGGGCAACCACATTCTTCAACGCTAAAAATAATATCCCTGGAGAAACAGTCATTTCAGTTATAGATATCAGGGAAGAATCTAATACTATTAAACTCAGTAATAAAAATCCTGCTGACTTCAATAAAGACGTCACTTACTGGGTTTTCCGGAGAGAAAAATCTGAATGTTTCTCTCCAGTTTAGTAGAGGCTCTCCAACTACCTCTGATGTCATCTAGCAGAGCTCACATTTCTGCACACCTTTTCAATACACATCAGAAGCAGCAAAAGCACACAATTTCCCCACCCGCTTAACTCAGTTATGCACTAACAGACATCAGGATGGAGGGTGCCAGCTCACTGCTCAATCTTTGATCAGCAGGATGAAAAGACCCCTGGACTTGTGAGTGCCCCAACGTCCTTTCTGAACCGGCAAATATGCTTTCCCGTTGTGCTAATTAACTCACCTTTAGAATCTCTGTTTAGACTCTACCATTATGTATGTGACCGTGTAAACAAATTAATGTTATAAATTTCTTTGCACATGAAATGAAGTCACAAGAGAAACAAGAATCACATTTAAAACTCAATTTCAAAACACAGACGCTGCCAGGCATCTCACCACATCTCATTATGGAATCCACTCGTGGCCTCAATCCCTCCAACATTTACCGTCAGATGGCAACAGTTTTCTTTTAATAGGCTAAATACTGAATACTCAACCTGTCCTTTTAATAACAGGGTTTGTTTTTCTCTTGCTGTGCAGAGCTCCTATTAACGGCTCTCCATACAATCCTGAGCCCGTGGCATAATACCAGTGTGCAATCAGGCAAAGGGACCAATAATTGCTTTTTCAAGAATTATTTTATAATGTGTTTCAGGATTCAGCCGCTCATTAACAAAGGAAGAGGGGGATTTTCCAAAACATTCTGTGTTAGCCTAACCGTAGCAGTGATGACTCCAAAACTCTCACCCTTAGCTCTTCAAAAAATAACTTTAAATTCTGATCCAAATATAAACCAGTGCAGCGATATCAGCCTGAAAAACAGAAGCTGAAACCATAGCGGTAGCAATTTAAGATGGCGTTACGGCTGCTACCAAATGGCAACACCTAAAGAAGTCTCCCGCGTTAATTATTTCACTGCTAATCGCTTTAGCAGAAACCCTGTCACTGCTGGATATGGCGGCAAGATCGTGTCAAGGTACAGTCAGGGCAGCTACTCACTGGGAGAAATGAGGCATTCAGTCCTCCACCAGCAGTGACACCATTATTGCTTCCGCCCCAAAGGAGGGAAGATACACGCAACCTCTGCTTTGTATCAAAAGAAGCTGTTCAGGGCTCGGTGTCTTGTCAACAGGCAGAAGACACAGCCCGGTTATCACAACCTCATGCTTCCCCCAAGCAGCTCCTGCAGTCCCCAGCAGATCTGCAGCACGCTTGAAAATCTGAGAGGGAAAAGAGAGTCAGCAGGGGACACAAGACTTTGGTCTCCCTGTTCTCCTAGAGACATCCCGTGTGGCCTTGAGTACTGCACCTTCAGGCTCAATATGTATTTACACACTTAAATCCCACTAAGTAGGATTTCAAAAGCCTTCATCTATATTTAAATTCCTTTACAAATCTTGTTTTTGATCTCTCCAGCTCTATCTGTATTATCAAATCAGCTCAAGGCTCTACCAGTGCTAGAAATCCACCCTCCTGCATGTTCTTAAGATTGAAGTCCTGCCCTGCGCTGGCTCTGGATTGGTACAAGTTCTCCCGTCAGTAACCTCGGGCGCAGGGAGCAGGGTGGGGTGGTTGGCTCACACTCCTCGTCTGCCTCTCCAGGCCCTGTGGATGAGGTCGCAGAGCCAGTAGCTCCAAGATCTTAAGACTAAACTGCAGCAAGGAGAGCAACAGCAGCACTGACGTAGGGAATAAACATGCAGAACTCTCGGTAAAATGAGATGAGCTCTGCTTCACCCCACAGACATGGAAAACGGGCTTATGTCAGACTGTACTTACAGACCTTGGAATGGGGCTACCTAAGGAAAACAGGGCCGTTACGTGGACGCATCTATTTTTCTATTCTTCCAGTAATACACTATAGAATTTGTTTTGTACTTCTGAACCAAACAATTGCACATTCACAGTTGGAAGTAGGGTATAAATATTGTCTCTAGCTGATCCCTTGATCCAGTCGTCCTAGCTGAATTAATCACATTCGCAAATCAATCCAGGATTTGTTGCTGTCGGAGCAGATGGCCAGGCAGACTGCATTTGCGAGCAAGGCGGACGCGTTCTCCTTCCAATTATCCAGCAGCATTTTGCAACGGCGGATATTTAAAATTAGACATTATTTCGAAGAAATGCTAAATCTCTCTTCTTTCTTATTCAGCTCAATAAGGGCACCGACCCCTGCTCTACTTCTGCCCTCTAAGGCCTTAGTGAAAGAGAAGGATGGCTG